CGACCCTTTGTTAGAACTCCACGGTTCACCATAAGACGCGATATTCAAAATGCAGCAAGTTTTATGTAGGCAAAGAGTGTAAAAGTCCAGTGTCTGCCTGAAACTTTACTTATTTACCTCTTGGTAGGGTTGGTTGTACAGAGCGTGCAGTGTAAAGCACGCATTAAATCAAATGCATCCATTTAAAATGAGGCTTATATTCCTGGTTTAAATCATTTTAACTAGTAGTTGATTTTTTCATACAGCCATCAACAATGGAATGATTAGTAATGATTATTCCTAATTCTCCTCGGCTAATGACAGCAGTTCGTTCGGAGACCCAAAGTTTAATTTTAAGCACCAATAAACCTAAAGGTTTTTAATGTTTTAATTTTACTCCTGCACAAATACCTGTTTTATGTGTATTTGATGGTTTTACGAGTCGAGTACTAGCGAAAAGCTGTGTACTTCACTGTCATGCATATCTCACGACATGGAGTTATCTGATAGTCGCTATGCTGTACATTATGTTGCTAAACAGAGATAAGGAAGGAAGAAAAGAATGTCGGGCTGTTACATGCACATTATTGGGCCATTTTTGATGCCCTTCATTTAGTGAACTTATAATTGTGAATTGTGTGGAGATGATTTCCATTTTCTTGTCATAGTCATGAATGTCTTATCTGAAAGGCAGAGTCTCTGCCACATGACATTTCTCTACCATAGAGTGGTGTTCATATATCGACCTCAGAAGGAGAAAAGTCGAGTGACTTAATCCAGGCTTAACTCACGAGCTTTTCCATTCTGATTCCGATTCTCTACCAACTGATCAACCCAGGTGATAAATAGAGATCATTTAGACATTCGCTACTGCGTACCATTGTGTCGATACTCTGTTGTGTAAGTACATACAAAATTGCTAGATTATTCAATGGTTTTCTTTACGTAGCAACGTCTATGCTGTATTTATGATAAGTTGTAAATTACAGTTTCATGACGCCCTGTCTGATGTTAGTACCTTCCCTGATTATCAGCTTGGATCTTATTCAGAATTCAGTAAATATGCTGTATTCCAAATAGTTTCATTTTACTTTTCTCATTGCATGTTATTTATCTGACCGTAAAGCGATTGAAGTTTCTGTCTAAGCACCGTGGTCTTAAATATGTTTAGTAAATCGCTGCCAACTAACGTACATATCGGTTAGAGCACTTGGTGATGTAAATAATTTGATGGTCTTTAGCTCAATGGCTACTTCGTCCGTGATCTCTCGAACCTACGGACTTCTCGAAAGGCTGACTGCCAGGCAGCGGTTTCTGCGCGGTGGTAAGTTGTTTTAATCGCCGACCGTTATAAATTTTTTGAAAAATATGTTTCCGTTTAGTGTCGATGGTTGTGCGTAGAAACGCATATTCAGATACGGTACAAAATCTGAAGATCAATTCAGAAACTAAAGTCATATGTCAGGGGTTCACCGGCAGGCAGGCAAGTGTAACGTTCTTGTTTCATTTCCTTGTCGTAATAAATGATTTCCAGGCGACATTTCATTGCACACAAATGCTGGAGTACAAGACGAAAATCGTCGGCGGCGTTTCTCCGAATAAAGCTGGCACGAAGCACCTTGGATTACCCGTTTTCGCCACCGTAGCAGATGTAAGCGTTTGTACGCCTGCAAAAATAAACAACAGGTTATTAGGCGAAACTGGTACGATACGTTTTATTTAGGAAAGCCCTAAATATTGTGTTGCTCTTGCACAAGGTTCGGTTAACTTAATGCTTGGCTAATATTGTTTT